TTCCCCCCAATTGGGCATGTGCCCTTGCCAAAGAGAAATAGAGATGAGAGAGAGAGAGAGAAATCACTCTCCAGGGTGTATAGCCCTGCTACAATTCCTTCTTTATTCTCCTCCTAGGATTTGGGGCATGCATACACACAAACCCTGCATGATTTTCAAGCCTCCAAGTCTGGGACTTGAACCACAGCTTGACTATGTGGGAGTTCAGTACCTTAACCACCATGCCACCTACTGGTCCCAGGGCTAGGAACATTTTTACTTTTTTTTGGCATTTGCATTTTCTCAACTTCCTTCAATTAATAGATATAGCTTTTGCAATAAGAAAGCTTTTTTAGAAAAGCCAAAATATATTTCTGATATCTATGGAATTGTTACCTTTGTTCAGGCAAGCAAGAAATATTCTTGTTACCTATACCTATAAAGATAGCCATCAGGGCAGCTGGTGGCACGATAGCTAAAGTGGCTAGATCCACATAACCAACTGTGCAGTTTGAGTCCTGGACCCTGAGGCTTGAAAAACATGCTGGCCTCATGTGTGTGCATGCCCTAAAATCCCAAGAGGATAATGGAGGAGAAGGGATTGAAGCATGGCTATCTTCCCCTGAGGGGTGCCTCCTCTCTCTGTTTCTCCCTAGTGAGCACACATGCTCTATGGCAAACAAACAAACAAACAAAAAGATAGCCATCAGTTGTAAGCAAACAGAAAAATAAATAAAATACCTCAAGTCAAGATCCCCCCAGATTAGGCTTTGACTTCTGGGTGTTTTTCCACGGGATAGCTTCAGGGATGGCCTGCTGTGCCGCTTGACACCCGAATGAAAAGAGCAGCTATGTCCCAGAGCCTCCTTACGTCCCTTAACAATTCATACATGAACCTAAATTCTTCTTAAATGGACACAGTTCTTTTTTAAAAAGTTTATTTCTTCTATGAGCAAAAGAGACCGAGAGAAAAAGGAAATGGAGATAGTACCCCCAACAGGGTCTTGATGCTGCAATCCACTCCCAGCTTCAGCAGCCCTGCACGGGCTAGCTTGCGTGCCTGGCTGACTCAGTGAGGTCTGCAGACTCAGATCAGCAGCCTTCCCGTGTGAGTCTCCAAAGCAATCTGCTCTGGAGTTCTTCAGCATCTCATGGAAGAAAACTGATGTGTGGACGGCACATAAGCAGCCCTCCTGCACCGCCAAGGAGAGTCAGGGAGCAGTGTCAGGGAGCACAGAGAGTCTGACTTAGTCTGCTATTGTGTTGCTACCAGAAATGTCTAACGCTGAGTGAATTTATAAAGAGACAGGTTTATTCAGATCACGGTCTAGAGGTCGAGGGTCAGGGGCCAACTTCAAGAGAGACTACAACATGGCAGAGGGCAAGAGATTGAGCAGAGTGGCTGTCCATAAGCTTCTCATCATTCTGGTCTGTACTTGTATGGCTTCTTCCCCTCTCATTTCCTCTCCTTACTAATCTGCCAGAACTCAGTCATGGAAGCCTCCCATAAGGGCTTTATCACACCCGAAGGCCCCACCCTAGGACATTGTGAAGGAATAAGTTTTAACTTAACACCTTTCTAATACAACTAGGTCCCAGCACATCAACTTTTGGAGGACAAACCATTACCAAACCATAACAGGGACTACAAAGAGTCTGGAAAGAGCTGAGGCTCAGCCCACTG